GGCCTTTTTTTAGGAATGAATTGTCACTCACGCGTAGGCCTACATTGATACTGTACCAACATAAAAACTTATACGAAATGAAATGTGTTTTACCTGACATAAATGCATTAGTATATAAACCTACACAGCAACATAGGAATGTAATAATACTGTAATAATAATAGTACAGTACGGTAGTAGTAATAATCACAAGTATAAAATAGGCTTACACTATCAACTATACAATAACAATACATCAAAGTTATGTATCTGCCTAAATAACAACTCCCTGAAATATCTGCGTGTGTATATACTAATAAAAATCATAATTAATATTTTCATAATTTGAATTATAATGTAGATGGTATTTAGTGAATCCAAATAAATATTTAATATTATTGTGTTCAAGTTAAATTGCGCTTCACGAATAATCTATCCGAAATCATGAAGACACACAGTAACTGTAAAAAAAGATGAAACACAGTAAGTAACATCGGTAACATTATAATTAATTATAAAAATTATCACACATTGTTTGTATTTTTTTAAGATATGGTGATGCCTTAATATAGAAAACAAGTCCCATTACCTTATAACAACAATGTTTATAAGTAATGTTTATCGGTGGTCGTCTTAATCACTATCGTCACCATTTGGCATTATTTAATTATTATCATTGTCATGATAATTATTAGATCTATATTATTGTACTTGTGAATTTATGTCAATTTATAAGAATAATATTGTTTAGATTGGTAGATATACATAGATTTACGCGTGGACTGAGTATCATTCCTAAAAAACGACCTAGACCTATACAGTGTTTTTTTTTTGTTGTAATTATAGCTTGCCTAATCATTACACATTTTAAGAATATGTATTTTACTGTGGCGTATCTAGGGGTGGGGCGCAAGTCCCTTCAAAAATTACTCGCAACCTACCCCCGCAAATTCGCGGTCAAGCAGCTAAAAATAATCTAATTCACCTTTTACGAGTTAGCACCTAAACTGACGATCATTGAGCCCCCCCCCCCACTTCACCTTCGAACCCCGCATTAACACCACAACTTCATGACTTCTAGATAAGCCACTGGTATTTCATAATTATAGGGAGTTTAAATCTGTGGTGTTCAACACTCTTCATCATAAGGAATACAGTAGTATTACGGCTTGTCAGTGAACCTACGCTTGCATAATAATGTCTACTACTGATACAGTACTGCTATCACATCGCATGTCATCGGCACTTATTTATTTATTTATTCAACTTTCTTTTATGAGGGTAGCTCATTCAACTTTCTTTTATGAGGGTAGCTCTTACAGCGATGCTGACTCAAAGAGGCCCTCATAACAAATACAAAACATACAGTATAACAAAACAAATACAGTAATGCATGTAAAATATATAAAGCACAATTATAAAATAGATTTTCGTTAAAATTGTTAAAAAACAATTGCATAAACAAGATATAAAATTTCAATTTTAATAAAAGCAGTCATTAAGATGATTTTAGATGATTTTATTAACTTATTGTATAGAAACCGCTCTGAAAACAATAAGAAAGCACTAATAAATATTCATGACTTTTGCCGAATCAGGAAGGTGATATTTTTAATCGCCACTGCCTCAAACGTCCAGAAAATCAAAATTCGCTGCCAGCGATCCCCCTCGGACAGAGCTTCCCCTCCCCCCCCCACACCCGGGGAGAAAAACCACAATTCGTCGGTGAGAAAAAAAAATGTATATTTATTTTTGACATATTACTAAGACCCCTGAATTGTCCTATTTTTCGGAGGCCTCGCTCCAATGGAACACTTTTGAGAAATTTTGAGGCGACGCCCGACCACACCCATTTTTTTTATCGGGGTAATCGGTCGGGCAAATCCTGGCGCCACCACTCTGAGCCTAAACAAGCCTTTCAACCAATAAAGAGACGTTAACTGACCATCTCATCATCAAGATTTCAGATGAGAATAAGTTATCTTATTGTCTGCCCTGTCTTAGCTCCAAAATAATACGTGCGTCATGATCACCGGGTCAGTTTATCCATTGCAAACGCTACAACATCTAAAAAATTGACCACCAACCTGCTGATGCCAACAATGTAAAAATGCTATAGGATTTTACAATGTACACAGACCGCCAATAAGCCAGCCATTGCTATTAAAACCAGTAAACTGGGGCATGTATAACCATATACATGGCAATACCTCGTACCAACGATTCACAAAATACAACAAGCTTGGAAAATACAAAAGTCGGAAATTTAAATCACTATAATGCGGCACTTCAACACAAACACTGTACCAGTTATCATAGATGCAATAGGGATGATCCGAAAAGAAACAAAATATCGACAAAATACTTTAAAACAGCAACCAAGGTGTTTAATATGCTTTTTAAAAACGCACTGCAAACAAGGCTAAAAATTTTTTTTATTGTTTTGGCCAGGCCCGACCGATTCAAATTTTACGAAATTAAGGGTCGGCATATTTTTTTGACATTTGACACTTTTGATGAGCAAATATGGCTGGAATAGCCTTGGCGAGGCTAGGGGACGAAGGCTAGCCTATTTTGCTGGACGGTACGCGATGCAAATCTTACTTTTGGTATTATTTTAGTATTTTCTAGTTTTTAACACATATGGTTGTAAAGGTAAAGGTAGTCCCATATTCATTTTTGAACGTTGGGGAATGGGCTGTATTTTGTCTATATCCCATCTTTCCCTACTCCCATCTAAATGCGCCATGCTCCATTATGCAATGTCTCACACCTCACTCTAGTCACCGTCGCATCTGCATTTTTATTTCTTTGTTGCCATGCATTTTTAAGACATGAAATGCAAAGATCGTTCATCATTTTTGTCGAGATTCCACATAATACTCGCTATTTCGATGGTGTTTGATTTAATAGAAATGATATTTTTGCTTTTCGATCATAGGGATTCTTCTTGCAACATTTTCGTTTAAGAGCGAGAATAGCCTAGGAAATTAGTGTTTCACGCTGTATTTCGCACCGACATAAGCTGTTTTTGGGTCATTTTTCGTATGTCCACAGAAGAATTCATATGGTGTTTTTAACCATGTATTTTTTACTCCTTAGCTTAAAAACTATCAATTGAACAGAATAAATTAATTTAATATTTTACCAGAATTAAAGACCTAAAGTAAACATTTAAAAAAAAATCATAAAGCACTAATAAAGGTCAGGCTGAATTTGAAATGGAAATGGATATAAAATGCCTATTTACTATAAAAAGTGAATATGACACCAGGTTAATTTCTAGAGGTCCCGCTGAATTCCCACTAATTTGCTTTTCGATGGTGTTTTCAAGTTCGATTGGCGATACAAAAGTTTCACTATCTATTTGTCATAGATGTAATTTCATTGATGTCGCACTGGAGACTTCACCAGAATTAATAGATTCGGAAAGAAGAAAACTTTCGGTAGGCTTAGGCCTATATGAAATTATTTTACTACGTTTTGTCAAGTTTCTTATTATGATGAACCTGGACACACCACAATTTTGTTTCGTGTATGCAAGTCTTGTAAATGCAACTTTCAGCAAATCTATCGATTTACAGATTAAAAGAACACTGACATTTCAATACGGCATAATGCATAATAAACAACGTACACACTCAGGTTAAAATAAAATAGTTTTGTTCTAAAGTAGAGCAGTATGGAGAGAATTAGCTCGTAATGTCACGTATTCTGCCAATGACAGCGAAAACCATTTAATAATGTACACCTGAAAACACTAAAACCATTCCCGTATTACTACATTAATGATTTTTTTCAAACGCTTGCACCATTAAAATTTTATTACTAGAAATATCCTCAAAACCGATATGCTAATTAAATTTAAAAATATAATTTAATGTGCAAGTACAGAGTAAAATGAACCCTCACTGAGTATTAAACAAATACAGTGGATATTTACCCGGTACAATATATTGTCAATTCGTTTATACAGCAATTTTAAGCATATGATGAGATAGTGTGCCAATAAGGCAGACCTATTTTACTATATTATATATATATATATATATATACATATATATACATATATATATACATATATATATATAAAC